ACTGCCTTAACATTTCAAATAAAAACAGCAGAGGGAATGCGTTTTGTTTCTCTGCATAGAGATACAGACTTCTTTGCTCCGAGTGGCTATGAGTGTGCATTCGTTCAAACCTATCCTGCTTCCTGTCACTCACTCCCCTCCAGATCACCCATCCTTGGACATGTCTGGTCTGAAGGGTCTGCAGTCTCCACTGCTTGAGAAGGACCTCAAGCACAGAGGCGGCTCAGCTCTGTGTCCGCCTGTCATGTCTGCAGTGGGCAAGCTTCTGGGAGCCAGGAGTCTTCCCTGTGTGGGCTGTGCAGGGCCGAGTCAGAACACACCATGCACCCAGCATGTCCACATCATTACAGATTCCGCACCAGAACTCACAAGCCCTCCAGCTCCCATCTAGCCCAATATGCAAGTCCTCTCCAGCATACGCTTTCTTAGGGTGTGGCATCAGAAAGCTGTCAGCTTTACCTGCAGCCCCCCTGGTGATGCATCCACTCTCTTCGGCCTGCCAGGAACATCCATGCCATAGGATCTACTGCCCTTAAACAGAAGCCACCTGGTTTCCTAGGTAAACAGTAAGCTCTCTTTTTCATTTACCTATCTGTGATATGGATCCCTCGTTTAATGGGCTGATAATGCACCTGTGTTGCCATAGAAACGATCTCAAGCCACGATGAGCAGAGAGCATAGAGGCAAAACTGTATATCCATACACACAAGAACAAAGGAATGAAATGAGTTCCTGCCTCTCACCAGACACAAAAATCAACTCAGGATGATCCAAGGCCTCAAGTTAAAACCAGAGACTAAGAAGCTGCTAGAAGAAAATGTAGGGGAAACACTAGATGACACTGGTGTAGGGGTGCCTGGGCAAGAACCCCAAAACACAGACAACAGAAACACCAACTAGATAGATCAGACTGTATTGAACTCAAAGGCCTCAATACATCAAATGAGACAATCAACAGGGTGAAGACAGCGGACAGAGGATCTGTGGATTATTTACCCAACAAAGGGTTAACACCCAGACTATATCAGCAACTCAAAACAAACCTCAACTCATCCAGTTATGAAATGGGTAAAGCACCTCAAGAATACATAGGTCTCAAAACAGGAAATGCAGGTGACCAACAAATATATGGAAAAAAACGTTCAATGTCACTTTTACCCATCAGTGAGATGACAGCTCATCCACACTGGCACGGCTGTTATCCAAATGACACCAAATGCTGAGGAACACACACAGCTGGCTGGCAGGTAAATTAGTGCAGCCACTGTGGAAAGCAGTGTGGAGAGGACCATAAGGTCCAGCCATCCTGGGTATAAGGGAGATGTGCACTCTGTCACCACCATGATCATCGCAACACGTTGACAGTAGTTGAAATCTGGCATCCACCAAGGTGCCCATCATCAGATAGATGGGTAAAGCAAATGTGCTACGTATAAACCACGGAATATTATTCAGTGATTAAAACCCCTGAAATTCTATCATTTCCATCAAAATGGCTGCAATTAGAGAGCACATTGAATGAAAAAAAGCCAGACACAGGAAGATAAAAACCATATTTTCCCTTATATACGGAGCTAAAAACTTTTTGACAAAAAAAGGAAAAAAATCTGTGTCAATTTTGCTGCAAAAATAGCATGTTGTCAAATTTGTTCAAATCTTTGTTAAACAAATTGCTAAGCACTGTGGCCCCAGAAACATATCATTAATGTCATAAACATGTACATTAAGCCCCCACCTGCAGTGCCAGCATTCCATATGGAAGCAGGTTCGAATCCTGGCTGTTGCACTTCCAATTCGGGCCCCTGCTTATGACCTTGGGAAGCAGCAGAGGATGACCCAAGTTCTAGGGCCCCTGCACCCTCATGGAAGACCTGGAAGAAGCTCCAGGGTCCTGGCTTCAGACTGGCCCAGCTCCAGCCATTGCAGCCATTTGGGGAACAAACCAGCCAATGGAAGACATCTCTCCCTTTCTGTAAATCTGCCTTTCCAAAGGAAATAAAATTTAAAGGAGAATGATATACTTCTGCAGTTTTAATGATCTGTGACTGCTTCAAAATTTAACTGGATATAAATGAGATGGCCAGCTTTCCATTAGATTATTGTTAATGTCTCCTGATGAATTATGCACTATCATTTTAGTTGTTAAACTCTTCATTTAGAGTACAATGTAAGCTTAAAATAATATCTCAAAAATAAAAGCGTTGAAAGACTGATTCAACAGCATAATGACTGTGCAGTACCTAATGTGGTACCTAGTAGGTACACAACCAATGCAACTTCTGATTAAATACAAACATCATTGTCACATTATTAATTCATGTGCAAACCAGGATTACTATCATTACCAAGGGCAGGAATTTTTCATTGACTTCGTAACTTACAAATAAAAAAAAGAGGCCTTTAAAAATACACTGTGACAATATAATCTACAATTTAATTAACAGCTTGAGTTTCCATTTATAATTTAGGTCTGCAACCAAGACTGAAGTCAGCTAGCAGCTACACATATTGCACCAGAACTACTCATTGACAGAGATCCCCGAAAGAGGGTGCATTGTCAGGGTGTGGACAAGTAAATTGCTGAAGGCGAGTTCTAACTGTAGCTTCAGGTTTTGTCCCAGCCAATGCAGAATCAATGTCACATTTGATACATGACACCTGCAGCTCATTTGGAAAAGTGGAGCCTCCTCTGACACGGAGTCTGAGCCCCATAAGCACCTCAGGTGATCATGGCAGAGCCACACCTGTGAGTGTCCCTGGGCAGAAACACAGCCCTGCCCTTTATCAAAAGTCAGAGGGCAGGCCTAGCGGTAAGCCTCGGGAGAATTCTGCGACACCCAACATCCATGAAAAGCCTTCACCTTGCTGCCGGGTTTGTTGCCTGTGAAACAGGGGAGAGGGAAGGGCTGGTGGGCGTTCCAGTATGGTGTGGCTCTTTTCACAGGTCCATGAGGTCTAATTCGCTGCTCCCAAGCCCAAGTGACCAGAGGGGTCTGTGGATGGGCAGGCTGCATCTTCATCAGCATGGGGGAGGGTGGGTGTGAGGAAACCGCTATCAATCATAGGCGGCCCGACTTCCACTGGGAAACCAACAGAGGACCAAGAGGTGGTGGGATTATCGTTTTGGACGAACAAACTGTGGCTGCCTCTGTGGGCAGCTCAAGTTCAAGGGTGGGCCATGAAGAGCTCTCCAGTCTAAACAGCCTTTGGCTGGAAGCTAACTACAGCACGACTCCAGCTACCCATTCATCTCAGCAGCCCCGCCAGTTACGCCGCAGGTGCTGAAGCCAGCACAGCGGCATGATACCACAGCAAACAGCAAAACAGGGAACACTGCCGTGAAAGACCGCCAGTGCTCCTGGGACAACAGCACATTCTCTAACGAGGAGTCTTCAAAACGTTTATGAGAGATGCACTACATTGAAAATCCACGTACAGATCTCACTTTTTTTCCTTCACACCATAATAAAAAACAAAGCTTTGACTGCCCTTTTTGATGGACTTGTGTTTAAATGGACCACAGGTTTCCAAAGAGCTGGATGGTGGGGTACAGGGGCGCTGAGAGCTCATAGCCAGAGGTGGCTCGTGAGGCAGTACCACCACAGGCTGGTGGCGGGCGGCCTCTGGCATGGGGAGATGCTTGCTAAAGTCATTTCAGATTTACACCTTTCTTTTTCCCCCAGAAAGCTGCTTGTCACAAACGATCAGCAACCCAGTAGCATCAAGAAGCATCTTACTGTATCTAATTTTAAAAGCAGTTCAAACAAGGTGCTACTACCAGTACAGGGCGAGCATCTCTGATCCGAAACGCTTGGCACCAGAAACATTTCTGATTTTGGAAGACGTGAGCATACATAATGGGGGATCTTGAGGCTAGAACCCAAGTCTAAACATTTTGAAGTTCACTTGTGTTTTACACACACCTTATGCGTGCAGATATAGGCGAGTTTATGCAATGGATCTAGCGCACCTGCATTTTGACTGTGATCCATCAGGGTCACAGCCATGAGGAATGTTCCTTTTGTGGTATCATACCAGCATCGGAGAGCCTTCACATTACAAGGCATTTCAGATTCAGATATTCAGATGTGCTCATCATGGATACTAGAAACAATTCTACTAAAAGACAGCTTCCTGTCTTGCCTTGCCAGTCCCCAGCTCCAGAACATGTGACCTCCTCACTTTATGTACAGAAACACACACATCACACGACTGTCATTCTTTGTACCCACATCCTGCTACCCTGCAGGTGCGCCAAAGCCGATGACCAGACCACTCACTGGGAACAGAAAATATGAAACTGGGACCAGTTGGGACCAAAAACACCAGTGATGCCTGGACGTGACTGTGTTGGAGGCAGCCCAGCGCAATTGCTCCCCACACATCCACGTTAGGCCAGCCCCAGCCACCCAACCGCATAGCACTGATTCAACTGTTCAACTGTTCTTCATCCATTCCAATATACATTTTCCCACTGTTTCACATGCTTTTTAGCTTCTTAAGCAGTTATATATGTTATCTATAACATATATGTTAGTTATAGATAACATATATAACATATATACGTTAAATATATGTTAGATATTTTTTATAACTTAAGTTACATAGTATAAATCTCGGAGAAGAAACATAAAGCAGACCCCTGCTTTGGAGAGGGAGGACCTCAGTTTGATTGATAACCGGCTTCCTACCACCTGAGATTGCCCCTAGGCAAAGGACAGTCCCTCCCATCTCCCCCATCGAGGGAATTTGCTGAGAAAAGCTTCTTCCCTGTAGGGCCACTGGCCCGAAGAGCAGACATGAACATCAAATTAACATGTCAACCCTTAGGGCTGGTTGGCTTGGTAATCTCAGGGGAACCACGCTAGGGCCGGAAGCTGGGCCTCCTGGCTCAGGCCCTTTATTGCACAGCCCTGTTTCAGGACCCACAGAAGCCAAGAGAAGAACACGTGCTAAGGAAGGAATCCAGGGAAGCAGAGCAACTCGAGTCTGGTACGTACTTGTGGCCCAGCTCGTGAGCAATGGTGAAAGCCAAGTTGAGCCCGTTGTCTTCGGCCAGCACGCATTTCCTCTTGGCACTGCACACGCCTCCCAGGTATGCGATCCCTGCAGTGAAAACAAAACATGTTCTCGTCAGCGGGAAGGCAGGTGGTCCACGGGGGTCACGGCACCAGCACAAGCTGGAGTGGGGACAAGTGGAAGGGGGCTGCCCACGGATGCATCAACCAGTTGGGTGTTCATCCAGGACCATTTACCCAGTAACAATTAGAAAGATAAACACAGTTGTCAAGCCCTTCTTGGCATGCCAGCTGGCCTCCTGAGTGGGTAGACCTTCAAAAGCTCATGAAAAATGGAATTAAAATATAAATTCATTTTGATACAAAAATCTGGAAATCCACGTCTCCTCAAATATTCAAAAGCTTCATAGGAAATACATTTTTGTGCTTAGATTAAAAAAAATTGTACACTGAATAAGCTTATCTTTTAGTCCCATTTTCCATGAATTGTTTGGAAGTGCCCAGTTTAATGCTTCTTATCCAGAAGGGAGCATTAAACAGGTGCAGAAAAGGAAGGTAACTTTCTCGTTGGCACCAGATTGACACCAGAGCTGGGATCCGAGGCCTGATCTGTGCAGCGTCAACGCCCAAGGTTGGGAACAGGTGAGGCCAGCAGGGCAAGGCGTCACCTGTGCAAGGCTGAATGCAGCCCTGGCTGCACCCACACCTGAGCAGCAGGCCCTCCTTGAATTTGGCCCCTTGGTACCTTCTGCCTCAGCCTTGCCTGACCTCAGGAGGCTCTATGCTCCCAGGCTCTCAGGATGCAAGCGTGGATCCAGGCTGGGGCTCAGGAACAGCAAGCCAGTGTAGGCAGTGCAAAGGCTCCCAGTGTCCATGAGAGAGTGAGTGCAACCAGGCCCCGTGAGGAGCAGAGAGAGATCTCTGGGAGGGTCAGGGCCTCTGGGCAGCAGCCAGGGCAAGCACTCAGGCCAATCTCCTCCTTCCCCTATGGACTGGGTATATCAAAGACCTCACACCAAGAGAGCCTGCCACAGCAGGAAGGCAGGACAGACGGAGGACAGGGACACTGAGGGACACATGGCCAGCACCACAGGAGGGTGGGGGCTGCAGGCAGAAAGGTTTCTGGGACCAAGGGAGATGTGGATGGCACCTGCTGGGGGAGGAATGCTGGGCAGGGGACACAGCAGGGCTAGGCAGGATGAGCCCCCAAGTGATCAAGCTTCCGAAGGCTGCATTATGGTGGATGTGGACAGGAGGGAGAGCTACTAATAGCACAATCTCTATACTTCCACCCTCCCTTTACCCCAGACATGCCTCACGACCCAGGGACCAGGACACCTGCCCTCTGACCAACAGCCCCATGAGGCCTCCAGGTGGGGAGAGGGCAGGGAGCTGCTAGAGGAGGAGGGACAATCCTGTAATCCAAGACCTTTCTAGAATGGTCTGTGGCACTCCAGTGTGGGGCACCTCTCGTCAACCATGGCCACTGCCCTGTGGCCCCATTACCATGTTCCTGAGGTAACTTACATAAGATCTCTCAGGAGGGACAGCACTGGCAGGGGCAGGGATGAGGGGTGAATGCTTCCATTAAAGAGGACCCCTCCTCCCTGCACCCAAAGACATGAACTTTTGCTGACATCAGAATCAGACTGGTGCAGAGATGAGGCACACCCCAGACTGCCTCTCCTTGCTCAGCCCCTGGGCAAGGCACAGAGGGTGCGCCAGGAGATGCAGCTCACACCTCCCACACCAAGCCTGGGCACCCCACCACATGTCTGGTTTTTATTTGGAAACATGCTAGGCCAAGATTGAAGAATTTAAAACAAAAAAGAAAGAAATCACATGGTATTTGCCCTAAGATACTTTCATTACACGTGGACATCCGTGGGAGGAACAGAAGGTGACAACAGGAAAGCACACCAGCCAGCTTCTCGGTGTGGCCAAGGTTATTACCCTGATTTCACTTAAAAGCGCTGTGTGGGCTGTTGCTGTGGAAGGAGGGCCAGGGAGTGGGTGGCAGGCGGCAGCACAGCCCCGACAGCTGGCACATGCAGCCCACGCACACATGCCACCTCCCTGGGCTGATACCTCCAGAAGGGGCAGCCCAGACAAGTCACATGGTGACAGAGGCAGGACACGTAACAGGGCTGGATGTGCTGAGCTTGCTATGGCCAATGCCCGTCCACCATGGGCAGCAGCTGAACCAGCAAACCTTAACTGCTGCCCAAGCACTTCCTGTGGCCCTGGCCACAGCCAGCACACACCAACGGGGAACCCGCAAAGCTGCAAGCCTTCCACTAATGGCATTTAAATTCTCCTGAGACCTTGGGTGGCTTTTTTTCTTCAGCCACAACAAAGGGTCTGTTTAGTTACCAGCTAATGTTCTTATACAAGGCTGGATGGGGATTGCTGCGCTTTCAGCAAGGAAAAACACAAAGGAGATTCATGTCCCCAACCTCTGACCCGAGGCTGGGTTTAGGCGTACTGGCACAGAAGCACTTGGAAGGCATGAAACAAAGATGGGACAAAATCCTATGTTGTTGCAAAAGCATGAACCATGGGGGTGTGGGGGTGGAGAATGCGTGGGAGTCAATCCACAGAGCACCCACAGGAAACCCTTCCACTGTGGCCCAGCACTGTGCCATGTACCTTGAAGCACACCCAGGAGACAAGTCCATCGCCTCACCCTACACAGAGCACACAGCTTCCCTACTTATGTGTACCCCAGGAAAATGCCACCAGGTCCCACTGATATGATTGTCAAGAAATGAGAAGAAATCAGTTTGGATTTTCATTGTACTGATCTCCAACAAGGGGGTTGGTGGGGAGGGAGCTGGGAGTCCATGGGGCTAGGGGAGAGGGTGAGGAATGTTGGGAGCCCAAGGGACCTCTGTGAGCCTGGGGGAGAGGGTGGGGAATGTAGGGAGCCCAGGGGATGCCATGGGCAAGGGGCTATTGGGAGCCCAGGGGTCCTCTGTGGGCATGGCAGAGGGAGTGAGGGATGCTAGGCCCATGGGCCTGGGACAAAGGGAGTATTCGGAAGCCCAGGGGATCAGTGAGCCTAGGGGACCAGACAGCAAGGCTCAAGTCTCTAGACCCTCTGGTGGTGTTTCTGTGCATACGCCACTCACAGGTAAGATGGCTCCACGTGTGACACTCTCCTCACATCATACAGATGGGTCAACAGAGGTTCAGTTGCTAGTTACTGGGTTAATTTGTGCCCAAACTAGGATGCAAGACTAGGTCCCTGTGTCTTCAGCATCCACACTGGGACAGGTAAACCCAATGCCTCCCCAGGCTCCAAAGCTTTGGTAGCCAACCACAGAAACTCAACGTCAGGGACTTTAGAAGGTTTCCACTGATCTTAAAGCAGACATGTGGTTTTACAAGCTGTAAGTTCAGATGTTTTTAAACCAAAAGATAAAGAAAAGAGGCTAGGAGTTGGTATTGTGGTGTAGCATTAAACTCTTGGATCCCATACGAATGCCGGTTCAAGTCCTGACTGCTCTACTTCCAATCCAGCTCCCTGCTACTGTACCTGGGAAAGCAGCAGAAGTCCAAGTACTTGCACCCCTGCCACCGAGGTGGGACTAACCGGCTCTTGGCTTAGCAGTCCCATCCCAGCTGCTAAAGTCAATTGGTGAATAAACCAGCAGATGGGAAAGTGAGTGCTGTCTCTCTCAGCCTGACTCAGACCTGCACAGCTCTGCCTTGAAGAGAGAGATGGCCAGTTTACTCCTGGCAATGGTCCAAGGCCTTGGCACCATGGCAGCAGTCACTGGGGCATCCCCCATGTGCTGAGCAGGCTCAGTGGTCAGCACCAAGTCTCACTCCCATGCTCCTCTGCAGAACAGGAGCTCTTGTCCACTTTACCCAGAGAACATCACCATGGCCATCTTGGAAGGAAGAGGGCCTTAAAACCAGGGCATGACAAGGGACACTTAACCATGGCTGACTGGTTCCTCAGGGTAGCTGCATACTCCTGTGGACCAGTGAAGGAGGAGCTATGGCTCCCAGGCAAAACACAACCACCTCCCTTGGAGCCTCTGGGCCCCAGATCTGCATCACCCAATCTGTGTGTCACCCCTGTGCATCTGTTGAGAGACACCTTATTGGTCTACCACAAGGAAATGCCAAAAGTTCATGAAAAAAAATTTGAAGTTTATGTTCTGGTATTAAAAAAAAGCTTTTGAAACCCATGCATAGTTTTGTCATACCATACAAGTTCCATGAACCCTTTTGAAGATGCCATGCATGTATGAGTTTCAAAATTTTATACACCAAAGTGTCCTTTAATGCCATTTTCCACAAACTTCATGAGGAGCCGCATGGTCTGCTGTCATCAGCAACACCCTGGCCCAAGCCCCGGCGCCCTCATTTCTGAACTTGGGCAGCATGCATGTTTTCTTCCCAAGGTGCCTCAGGCGGCACTCAGGGACAGCAGACAGTGAGATCAGCCAAACAGAGAGAGAGAGAAAGAAAAAGCAGAGACACCCCAAAAAAGTGTCCATTCCTGTGAGCGCCACATGTTTACTCTTGGCTGAGAGCTGACCCAGGGCGGCAGGGAGCCCTTGCTCAGGATCAGCCAGGAATGTGCCTGCCTGGTGACTGAGAGCCCAGGGGCGGCTGGCACAGCACTCGGGTTTCAGATGGACTTGAGCAAACGGGTCACCTCCCTGGGGCAGAACACAGACCAACTGTATTCTAGAAAAAAAAAAAATCAGGCGACATGAGGTGCTTCTGGTTTGCATTCCAGAGCTGTTTCCGCTTCTTGCCCCTTAACTGACTCAGGTGTGATTTCCACAGTGTGTCTTCTGTCCTCTGAGGTCCCCCAAGCTGGTGCAGAGTCCAGAGAGAACACCCAGGGTATGCCTGCTAGTGGGAGAAGCCCTTGTAGGCTGGGTGTCACTCCCCACGGCCAGCTGTCCTGGCTCAGGCTTCCCAAGCACCTCTGGGACCCTAACCTCCCTCCCCATGGTGGGAAGCAGTCAGCACAAGCCCCACCCAGGTTCCCAGGATCCCCCGAGCTGAGCAGCAGGCCCTAAGATGGCACTGGTGCAGAGGCAGACGGGTTCCATGTAAACAGAG